AAAATTCTGGCAAATTACATACAAAAGTATATTAAAAAGATAGTGCACCACAATCAAGTGGGGTTCATCACAAGGAGGCAAGATTGGTTCAACATATGGAAATCAATAAACATAATTCATCATATCAATGGAATTAAAAACAAGAATCATGTGATCATCTCAATAAATGCAGAAAAAGCATTTGACAAGATATATCAACATTCATGTTCAAAACACTAGAAAAAAAACTAGGTAAGAATATAGGAACATACCCCAACATAGTAAAAGCAATCTATGCTAAGACCAACATCATTCTAAATGGATAAAAATTGAAAGCATTCCCTGTAAAAACTGAAACAAGACAAGGATGCCCTCTTTCACCACTTCCATTCAACATCATCATTGAAACTCTAGCCACAGCAATTAGGCAGAAGAAAGAAATTAAAGAGATACAAATAGGAAAAAAAGAACCCAAATTATCACTATTGGCCAATGAGATGATTCTGTATTTAGAAGATCCAAAAAATTCTGCCAGAAAACTTCTAGAATAAATGAATTCAATAAAGTAGCAGGATAGAAAATCAACACCCATAAATCAAACATGTTCCTATATATCAGTGTTGAATCTACTAAAACAGAAATCAGAAAAACTGCCCCATTCATAATAGCCTCAAAAAAATAAAATAAACTATTTGGGAATCAACTAACAAAAGACGTGAAAGACCTCTACAATGAAAACTGCAGACACTAAAGGAAGAAATTGAAGAAGACCTTAGAAAATGGAAAGTCTTCCCATGCTCCTGGATAAGTAGAATTAATATTGTCAAAATGGCCATACTACCAAAACAGATTTAATGCAATTCCAGTTAAACTTCCAATAACAGTCTTCATAGAGTTAGAAAAAGCAATCATGAAATTCATTTGGAAAAATAAGACACACAGAGTAGCCAAAATAATCCTTAGTGAGAAAAGTGAAGCAGGAGGTATCACAATCCCAGACATTAAACTATAGCATAGAGCTAAAGTAACACAATGCCATGGTACTGGCACCAAAACAGACATGTAGACCAATGGTATAGAATAGAAGACACAGAGACAAACCCACATAAATACAGTGATCTCATACTAGTCAAAGGTGCCAAAAACATTCACTGAAGAAAAGATAGCCTACTATTCAACAAATGGTCTGGGAAAATTGGAAACCCACATGTAACAAAATGAAATTAAACCTGTATCTCTCACCCTGCACAAAACTCAACTCAACATGGATCAAAAAAGACTAAGGCACTAGATCAGAGACTCTATGCCTAATAGAAGAAAAAGTAGGCTAGTTTAGAATCTTACTTCCTTAACAAGACACCTAAAGTGTAAAATCAAGAATCAATAAATGAGAAGAAATAAAACTAAAAATCTTCTTTTCAGCAAAAGAAGCAATCAATAATGTGAAGGGAGAGCTTACAGAATGGGAGAAAATCTTTATGACATGTACCTCTGAGCATTAATCTCCAGGATGCATAAAGATGTCAAAAAACACCAATAAAACAAATAACCAAATCAATAAATGGGCTAAGGAACTGAAAAAACATTTCACAGAAGAAGAAATACAATAGATCAACAAACATATGAAAAAAAATGTTCAACATCTCTGGCAGTTAGAGAAATGCAAATCAAAACTAAGATTTCATCTCACTTCAGTCAGAATGAAAATCATCAAGAATACAAACAACAATAAATGTTGGTCAGGATGTGGGAGAAAAGGTACATTTTGGTGGTGGGACTGCAAATTGGTGAAACCATTATGGAAAATGGTGTGAAGATTCCTCAGAAAATTTTGAGTGGAATCACCATTTGACCCAGCTATCTCATGCTTTGCTTTATACCCAGTCAGCATACTCAGCCTCGTCAATGTTTATAGCAGCTCAATTCACAATAGCTAAACTATGGAACCAATATAGATGCCCTTCAACTGATGAATGAATAAAAAATGTGATTTTATACACACACAGAAATATTACTCAGCCTTAAAGAATGAAATTATGGCATTTGCTAGTAAATGAAATGATCTGGAGAATATCATGCTAAGGGAAGAAAATAAGCCAATCCCCCCCAAAACAGACTGAATGTTTTCATCTGATGCAGATGGTAATTCACAGTAAGGGGGGTGAGGGCTAGAGAAGAATAGAGGTAATCTGGATTAGGCAGAAGGGAGTAAAGGAGTATGGGGGTAGAAGAGTAGTAGAATGAATTAGACATTATTACCCTATGTATGTGTGTGTGTATGTGTGTATGTATATATGTATATGTATGTATGTATATATATATATATATATATGCATGACCTATGTGAGTCTACATCATGTACAATCAGTAAAAATGAGAAATTATACTCCATTTATGTATGATGTATCAACGTGCATAAGTGCATTTTACACTCATATACTACTAATTAGAACAATAAGAAAAAAAAACAAATAGGTAATCTAATAATTTTCTTCATTTGGTAAAATCAGTAAAAGAGTTTCCAGAAGTGTGTTTGACCTTAATACATATATTTCACATTGCAGCTATATTTGAGCAAAGACCTTTAAGTACTGACTGTGCAACTGAGGGTGATATTCTCGACAGTAAAATATTAAAACTCAGTAGAAGCATGATTCAATGCAGAACTCAGGATAAGCTATGGGTAGTCTCAGGAAACTGAGTGGAGGTCAACTTCATAATGCCAGGATGGACAGAGACCTGCCAAAGGAAATTTGAGAGAGGGGAAACCGCTAACTGAGGATAAAGCTCAGACCCAACTCATGCTTGTTATGGTAGATTGGGATGAGGAACTACCAAAATGTGGCAAGTGTAAAAAAAAAAAAAATGTCTATTTGTTTTATTTTGGTATTTGAATAAGGGAGGAAATATAGCACAGCCCCACTTCTTCATGAGGGAATATCTGCTAATGTAACCTAGGGATTTAGAAATATGTAATAGAACAACATTCTCCAAGTTGGTTCACAGATTCCTGGGGGTCCTCAAGATCTTCACAGGGGTCCAAAAGGTCAAAAGTATTTCCAAAACAATTCTTTGATAATATTACACATTACTGGTTCTAAGAAAACATTAAAAAACAGAACTCCAAACACTTTCATTCTAAGGATTATAAATTTTATTAAAACTCAACCCTTGAATTCACATCTTTTTAATGTTCTGTGTGGCAAAGTAAGAAGCATATGTAAAGAACTTCTGGTTTATAAGGGTTCCGCAAAGGAACTGAGTTGCAAATTGAACTTGCTGCACTTTCACTGAATGACATTTTTACTTGAACAAATGAATGATAGACAAAACAAGGGTTTTTGCAGATGTGTTCTTGAAAATAAATCAGGACAGTTCAAGAAAAACAACTTTTAGTATTTATCATCAGTAATAAAATTCTAACTTTCAGATGAAAATTAGAATTTTGGAGAACTTATACTTGCCACAGTGAACTGGATAGCTTTCCAATATTTAAAGACCTTTCYGATAAGACTGGTGGTAATATTACTAAATGTGATGATTTTGATCTGATATAGTGAAATGTGTCAACATCTGAAAGATTTGCATAACTCAATTCACCAATATTTTCCAAGGATCAAATGTATAATGTCACAAAATCATACAGAGGTAAAAGATCCATTCAAAATGAAACATCAATGTACTTTAACAGTATACAGAAAGTTCTTTGAAAGTGTTTCAATCTCCCACCTGCAAGAAACCTGTAAGAAAMCACCACTTGTCAAGTTTTGGTATAGTATTAAAGAAGAATTTCCACAATTACCTGAACAGCCTATTATGGTGATTCTTTCTTTTCCAACTACCCATCTGTAAGAGGCCCTATTTTCTGAAAACACATCAACTAAAATAGCATTTGACAACAGACTAATGCAGAGATATGCGAAACCCAGCTGTCTTCCCTTAAATCAGATGTGAAAGAATTTTGCAAAAACATAAAACTTTCCTCACTAAAGTTCATGGTTTTGGAAAAATCATTATTTTTCATTAAAAATGTTATTTTGTCAACATATAATGTGCTTATTGTTAAATAAATTTTCATGTAGGTTAAAGTCTCAGTACTAATGTTTAATCCAAAAATACTAATTAATATAAACCACATGGACTTAAGCTTGCTGGCGTTCTTGAGGATGTAAGACAGAAAATCCTAAGGACAAAAGTTGGAAACACTGTAACAGAGTTCTATATTCCATGTGGAGAAGAGGAAATGTGCCTGGTGACCATGGTTCCTTCTGTTTCTAATCAGAAGGTACTCGGCCAGAATATTAAATGTCTTGTTTATGTACTTTAGAATGGAAAGCAAATTGCGAACTAGGATTYGCTCCTTGGGACTGGGGAGACCACTCAAACTTCAACAACAGCACCTTTTTGATACTCCTCTAAGGTATTTTTGTTCAGCAGGTAGGAAATGTAAGCAAGGAGGAACAGAAAGGGCATCAGCACCAGGATAAGGCAGGTAGTAAAGCTAAGCATTCCCACCTTGTGTGAATCATGTTACCGGGCAATCTTTCCAGGGACAGTTATCATTCAAAAGCCTATTATTTGACTAAATAGTATTGGAGTGGTTTCTATTTTTTATCTTACGGTTGATTTCTAATTTCATTCCATTGTGATCTGATAGAATTCAGGGTATTTTATCTCTCTCTTTTTTATTTTCTAAGGTTTGCTTTGTGGCCTAAAATATGGTGTATTTTAGAAATTGTTCCATGAGTTGCTGAAAAATAAGTGTATTCAGTCATTGATGTATGAAATGAAATATTCTATGAGTTTTGAGTGTGAGAGGAGGGTTTAATAACCTGCTCTTAAGAGACGAAAAACACACTAACTAAAAAGGAACTGAGAGTTTCAATGTCCCTTGCTGGAACTATCAGTTCTTGCTAGGAAGAGTAACTGCTAACTACCACTTTGATTTAAAAGGAGTCCTGACTTGTGGAAACTGACACAGTGAGCTGGCCACATTCCCTGAACAAAGCATCAACACTTACCCGTTTGCCCAATATGGAAGCATTCAGAATCTGGAAAGGAAGGAAATTAGGGCTTAAATCCAACTTGGCAATTAATGGCTTCATTTTTTGGCTTAACCACATGCATGTTCTATAAATGTATTCATTAAAAAGTTATGAAGAGTTAAGATGTATTAGATTTTGGTAGCACCTTTCTTCAGGAATTATAAAACATCATGCAGTTKCTATTATTAGTGGCAATTAATGAGTTATGCTCCTTAAAAAAAATGAAAGACAAAGTTTTTCAGAGGAGGAGAAGGAAAGAAAATCACCGACAGAAGCAGCAACTTGTTTAAAGAATCAAAATTTAGTACCAGAGTTGCTTCAGAAATATACTTCTATAACCTTGTGGAACCAGCACAGTGCCTAACAAGATGCTGGCTTGGTTCACTAATGATTTATCATGCATCACCTGCKCTCCACCCAGAGAAAGTATTGACATTACAGTAAATTAGCATTTTTTTAAAGATCATACATTGCTAAGTGTTATGAATTTTCATAGTCCATCCCCCCAATTTAGCATATCCCCTAGCAAACTATTGATGATGAATTTTGTTTTAAATGTTCAATAGCTGAGGCTGGAATGTGAAAGACATTTTTCTTTAGGAAACGTAGGTTTGTCTTCTGGTTGCTTTTATTAAAAATTGCAAAGAGGAGTTAGAAGAAGATGGCTAATTGCAATAACAAACATGGTTGAAATGGAAATTACTGATTGAAGGAGAAAACCTTCATGCCAAGGGACATAACAACAGAAGGTGGACATTTAAAATTTAGAAGGTCCAATAGTCAACATACATTCGTTGAATGACTTCTTTCCTAAGGGGAACAGAGGAAAGGAAATGCGTTCTCCAGAGATCTCACCGAGATCTGTCAGCAAACACTTCATACCTCCCTTTCCTTTCAAGCAGAACCATATGGCTCAGAGTCTCACATGTAGAACGAAATGAGGATTAGCTCAAGGTCTTCCAAACTTAGAAAGAGAATGGCATTAATTCCAGAATTATACTAATTCCAGAATTATATTAAACAGTAACAGTGGTTGATTTAGTGTGAAAAGGAACTCTGGCTTGGACCTAAGAAGTCATATTGTAATCTTTTTTGTAAATAGTATCCATTGGTTATAAAGACAGATTAACATTATTTCAAAGCTGCTGTTAAATAATGTATAAAAGTTTTTAAAAAGATGATACAATGGTCTCAGGTGCCACTATCCATCTGTTTGGAAAACAAGATCATGACACAAACCATAGTCTGAGACACGGAAGTACTTCTTTTGACTTGCATAGTATTTTAAAGATGGCAAGTTTTGCATAGAAATTGCAGATTTCCTGGAAAAAGAAAATCATACAATCTATAAAACGTGGGCCTACATTCCAGAGTGACAGTAATCAGCTGGATATGATCCAGGACATCAGACATGCACAACACACAGGTGTACCCTCTGCTGTCTAGTYTCCATCATCCTTTGCTGCCTTCATGCAGCCTATCTCACTCAGGGAATTTGATTTCCCCAATTCAGCTCACTAGTGGTTGAGGTGGCCTGCTATCTCACACAGGAGTATCTCAGGGGTCTCTCCYTTTGGTGCCAGTTACACAAAATACAGGTTAAGAATACAGAAAGAAGCAAATTCTTTGGGTCTATCTTTGGAAACCAAATCTGAATATAATGAAAAACTACATGATTATCCAATTATATCAAGATTCTTTCCACAAAGAAAGAGAAAGCTAAAACCTCTGCTATTGATAACTGTTTGGGTCAAATACATTCGATAACACTTGTTAAAGTAGTAACATGTCTAAAAATGCAAACAGAGGAGCTAGCATTTTTCTGGGCTCAGTATACATGCACTGCTGTTACAGCCAGGGAATACTAAAACACCTGGAACAATGTGGCAGTTGGCCTGGCTACTTAAACCTCAAAGATGAAGATATTTGCTGTACATACCCTTAAAGAAATGGAGCCAAGGTCGTGCCTTTTAATATCTACAAGGTTTTTAAATGTCTGAAAAGATCATAGGCATTGATTGGACATCTGACTATTCCTTTGGGATGGTTATTAGGAAAGAATAAAAAGATGATACAATGGTCTATAGATACATTGGCAATAGTAGATTGTACCCTGGAATAAAAGGTAGGATGACTTTTGTTAGATCCTGGAATTTTTTTTTAACTATTAGAAGCTGACATAGTAGAAATGAATGGAAATTATTTGAAACTCATGCAAGCTTTACCCATAATTTCTAGAAATCTACTTATTGATGAATACAGCTTTTATAYGTTAAGTAATCCATGTTGTTATCCAGGGTTTACAAAGGAAATAAAAAACTGCATATTCTGGAGGTTATACAACTTTACATCATTTACCATTTCTTGACTTTGAGGTCACTAGCAGAAAGGGTGGCCACCAACTTTCATGACAGGCTTCTTGTGTAGTGGCTTCCATGAAGGCAACCTTCCCTAGAATCTTTTGCTCAGGGTGCTTATTTACTAACTATAAGCATATTTTCCAAACTTAGAGACATTAATTAATACTTTTAATGTATTAATTCTTTAAGCTTCAGAATCCCATAAAGTGGGAAGTTTACATGTATGGGAACATGCAAGAACATGTGCAAACCAACTCCATRTTAACTACTTAGTCCCAACTTACGTGAAACAACTTTATTGGCCTGTTCCCTTCTACTGCAGTTTGATTTCAAAGGTCTAAAAGATGGATTTTTTTTTAACTTTTAGTATTCAAAGTATCTTTGAATAAAGGTCAAAATGTAAAATTCTAGCATATTCCAAATGCAAAATGGAAAATTAATGTCACCTAGCAATCAGAAAAATGATCTGTCACAATACAGCACCTTATAATAGCTGTACATTTGTCTTTYCCGACCTGATAAGTTTGACCATGTCTAAGTCATTATACAGTTCACAGCTTCTGGCACAGGGCTTTACATCTGAAAGGTGCCAGTAAATAGTTGAATACTTGAAAGCTACAGAATATATGAAAATCAAATATATACACATATTTCCAAAAAAAGTTCTTACTCTAATTTTTAAGATTAAGAAGTGTTTTGAAAGCATCATGTTTTAATTGCATGTAATCATGGCTTGCCAATATACACCTTCAATAAAATGCAATGAAGAAAAATTATGACCATAAATACCACTTAAAATTTAGTATAGAGGTGTTAGAGATGTAGCTCAGTAGTAGAGCTTGTGCTTAATATGTACAAAAGCCCTGAGTTCAATACCCAGCACCAAACAAACAATAAAAAAAAATGTATAAGGAGTGATTCAATTTATTTTGCTATTTGTTCTAAGTATAATCTTCAGACTCCTTGGTCTTTGTTTTTCCATGAGAGAAAGCCCAGACTAGCCTGCTGGAGGAGGAGAAACCACCAGAAATAAGTCTTCCCAAATGAGTTCTTTGTGGAATCCTACAGCCTGTTGACCACCCAATACCCGAAAAACCCAGACAAAATCAGTGGAGACAAGTTCTCAACCTGTGGCTAACACACCATGACAAACAATAGRAACCAGAATGACCAGCTAGGACAGGAACTGGGAGGCAACAATAAAGGCTCATGATTTTAAGCTACCAAGTTTGTGGTGCCTTGTTATGCAGCACCTGTTACCTGATAGAGGTGTATTCCCTGATTTTGAGTCTTCACAATGGAAAGAAGGTGCAATTCAGTGTCCCCACAAATATGTGACCACACAATTAGTGCTTGTCACATCACATCACAACTAAATATAGGTATGTCCAGAGTCATGAGCCCCTAGGGGAACACTTCACATTCATCTTTGCATCTTCAAATTCCTGACTTCTATGTAGATGTTTAACACATGTTGCATGAAAACTAATAAGTTTAAGTTTGGAAAATGTTCTAAATAAGAGAAAGGTGTTGGAAGCTTTTGCAAGATGAAATGACTTTTTCTATTTGGTTAGCAGTAGAGGCAAAATGCAGCCAGGAATGCAGGCAACAGAAAGGACATCACAGCTGGGCAGAGAGAGGCAGGGTTCTGAAGAAGGGGTACAGTTCAGACAGTACTCTCACTTGACTTCAGGCTGCGCTATTAATTAACTCAGGCACAAAGCAATCTACAGTCTTCAATGGAAGAGCATTGCTTAACAATTGAGTGAGACTTATAATTGAACAAGGAATTTAGCTACAGAATTAGAGAAAGAACTTCAAGAGATGTGCATTTCCAGAAAATTAAATTATGATGAGCATCTAACATTGCAAGGGCACTCTTCTACTCTTAAGAGCCATCATGGATATAACCAAGAGAAAAAGCTGAAAATCTAATTTTTTTCAGGAGGGAAAGGATGTTGCTCTCATAGAGTTGCTAATCCACAGCAGTGTATTTCCAGATCCTCTTWTGTCAGAGAGGTCTCTGAGAGTTCTGCTGTGAATGTATTGGGTAGTTTGCAAAGTTTACTAGAGGGTATGAAAAAATCTACCATTTCAGAAATTAATTTCTTTAGGGGATAAACTTGCCCCCATCAAGAAACTGGGCATTATGCCCAGACAGAAATAAATATAAAATAAAGGATTTATTCCTATTCAAGTAGTTTTTGTGCTTAAAAATAAAAATGCCAAAGAAAAAGAGCTGGTGACAAACACCAAAGATTCAGTTCTTAAAAAAAAAAAAAAAATCATTCCTTTAAGGGGCCCCTCCTAAAAATCTCAAATTTAGAGATACCTTTTATAGGGAACTCTACATCATCCATGCCCTCCTAGAAAAATTCAACTCACTATCTGGCTATATAAATCACTGCCCTAACCCTCAGGGCATAAGAGCTTCCTATTGATAGAAAGCTCATCTCCTCAGATTAGCTGAAATGGTGGAGTAACCTAATGTCAGCAGGTATTCAGAGCTATCCAAAGGGGACTGGAGGATCCTCACTGAGGAATAGTCCAGAACACATGTATCCATTCCCCATTAAATTAAGAACAAAACCTTGTATYCATAATCTCATCTCAAAGGTAGAAACTAAACACTTTAGTTCAAGAACC